TATATAAATTAGATAAATCTATTTTTTTTAATTGTTTCTTAATCGTCTAAAAGCAAATGTAATAAAATATGACACATCTTAAATCTTATTTAGAATACATTCAGCTCTTAGGAGATTTGCAATTTAATTCTATTTTAATTCTGGCACTCATATATTATGCCGAGATTGCAATCTTCATCGGGATTGAATGAGAAACAAAAGGATTTTAATGCTACTAATCTCATTCTTAATATGGTGAGTCTGAAATATATTATGATTAAACATTTGGGATTATCTTTTTTGTCTCTAATAAAACACTTCTTGCCACGAACACTCCATCGTTGATTATCTTATTCGCTTATTTATATTATTATATTACCTGTGTAAAAAAACAGCTCACAAAGTATATTTTCTTATTGGCAAGTAAAGCAATTATACTTTTTCAAAACTACAACTTGTCTTTATTGAAGGTTTCAATCCGCTTCCTTTCAATTAAGCTTTGGAGTACTTCAGAGATTTCTCTAAAAAAACTTTTGCCGTCTTTTTCCGGAGAAATATTGAAATATCTTCAACTTAATCACTAGGTTATTTGATAGAGAGAGATTTTACTGATTAAAACTGAAGTTACATCGACCGGCTGTCAAAACACAATTCACAAATATGATACATTTATAAATGTAATGCTAACGTAACATCCAGTCGTGTCAGATTTTAACAGTCATAAATGTAAAAATAACTAAGAACGAAACATGGATTCCTAAGATCGAATCCTTCGTACTACGGACTGTACACTTAGGAATATGATGTATGAAGAACTTAAGAGAAATTCAAATTTAAGAGCCTGTCCTATCATAGTTCTACTGTGTATACTTCACAACATGGCAGAGAATCCTTCCTCCTAAGAACATTTACATCAAAAGTGTCGACGTTCAGTGTCAATACTGGGTATGATTATACTGTGACAGAGTTCTTGGCTAAGTACAGTGCAGTGCATTAATTCGCTGGCTCATAGTAGCGGCCCGACTTATCGAAAATAAGAAAATGCAGTACTAAAAATTTGATAAAAAATTCTGAAAAAATTCATATGAGTTCTATGAGAAGAAAATAAACAATTTTTGTCTTTTGCAATTTTTCTATAAAGTTGATAGTATTTGAATAAAAATTACTAAAGTCCAATTTTCGTCAATTTTTAGCAATTAATATCTTATTAACTATTATGAAAATTGTAAAATGGTAGAGTACTTTTTTTCTCACTCTCTTTAGTCCATTCTGTCCCTGGGAAAGATTTATCATTATTTTCCCTGTAATAAGCAACTCAGCAACCTACAAAAAGCTATAGTAACATAAATTATGGATTAATATTAGAAATATAATTAGTTCAAGGAGTAATTATTTTGAAATAAAAATCTCAAAAAAAGAAGTCATGAGTAATCAATACGCATAAAGGACCATATTAGCAAAATGTGGCCATGTTATTATTTAAATTTGCTTAAAATATTATGTATAGTCAAATAAAATATTAAATAGCAAACAACACATTCAAATATACATATATTTATATAATAATATGCTCAAATTAAATTTAAGAAAAATGAGGGAGTAGGTGTAATTAAATATTAAAATATATCTCAGAAACTTTTCAAAATACTTAAAAGTAAAAATACGTTATAATAAAATATAAATAATAAAATAAATTGTAATATAATAAATAAATATATATTTAAAAGGTATTTTTTGTTTTAAATATGATTTTTTCTAAAGCTATTTAAAACATATATAAAACATTTTGTTTTTTTGTTTTTTGTTTTTTTTTAAACGTTTTTTTCAACCCTGCTTCTCTCACTCCGTCCGGCGCACTGCCTCGCTCGCGTTCTTCATCTTTCCAAGTTTTAAACAAACTTTTTCGGCAGCAAAAAATTCGAGAATTTCTCAACAGCAAATTCAATTCTTCCTTGACAAATTGGTGCCAGACGGAACTCTTAATTTCAAAAACAAGAATCACACGGTGATTTTTTGAAAAAAAATTGTTATCTCGACTCTTAATAATAGGAGGGTCATCTTTTCTTTTTTAATTCATAGAAAAATATCAAATTTCGAATGCTTTACACGGCTATTTAATATAATGCATATTAACGAAATTATTTACATTTTTTTGAAGATATCCACTTTTTAAAGGCATTTTATAATATAGCATTTTCGGACCGACTGAGAGAAGGCGCTCGCTGTCTCGTTCATTCTCAACGTGCCACAGGCGAGCACATAGATATAGGCTTGCTTAAGGCTTAAGTATGTGACTACCGGTTTCGCCAGACCGCCGTCTGATTTTGTGTCACCACCGTCAACGCAGTTCTTGACTGAGTAATCAGGAGCCTCAAGCCTATTTTAATGTACTTTTTGTTTTCTGTTTTCTGTTTTTTGCTATTTTTTACATCTTGTCTTTTTGCTTCTTGTCCTATCTTTCCGGTTTTTTGTTTTATATCGTCTGAGATAAAAATTAACAAACTTCGAAAGAAACAAGAAAAATATAGCGAGAAATAATTATTGATAAAACGGTTACAAAGGAGAAAAAAGCAAAATGTAAAAAACAAAAAACAGGAAACAAATAGCACATTATAGAATAGGCTTTATGTTTTAAAGCAAAGAATTTATACTTTTAAAATAGATATATACTTAACCAAAACAAATTATCAGTTGTGAAAATAAAAATTATGCAGAAAATAATTCATATTTTTAAAGCAGACTGTGTTTTTGAAGAAAAGAATTTGTGTAATTGAAGCACAAAATATTTATTCCAGTCTCAATTACATGTTGTACATGACCGCGGCGCACAGATGTGTCCAGTCGTGTTGCTGTATCTCACCGCTATTACCAGCTATGACAGATTTCCTAACCTCAATCGTCAACTGTAACGTTTAATATCTCGGTTTACGAAACCGATCTAACGTTTTTTCTTATAGATTCTTTCGTTTTGTAGAAAAACACATTGATTAAGTCTAATTTCAAAATCGGAGGTGAGGATCATATTCTAAATAATTATTAGGTGTACAACTTTGCTTCCGCCGTTTTTTTTCCGAAATTCGAGGCTTTATTGTAAAAAAACTGGTTATCCATTTATAATTCAAAGTATTGCCCATCGCTGGCCACTACTTTCTCCCATCTTGCGGGTAGCGTACGAATCCCACGTCGAAAAAACTGGTCATCTTTTGAGGCTATCCACGAGTCGATCCAATTTTTTACTTCTTCATAAGACCGGAAGTGCTGGTCAGCCAGGCCGTTGATCGAAACAAGTGATAGTTAGAGGGAGCAACGTCTGGAGAATATGGCGGGTGGGGTAGGACTTCCCATTTCAACGTTTCCAAGTATGTCTTGATCACTTTCGCAACATGGGGTCGAGCATTGTCATGCTGCAAAATCACTTTATCGTGTCTCTCGTTGTATTGCGGCCGTTTGTCTTTCAATGCTCGGCTCAAACGCATCAATTGCGTTCGATACCGATCGCCTGTGATTGTTTCAGTCGGTTTTAACAGTTCATAATACACTACGCCGAGTTGGCCCCACCAAATACAGAGTATGACCTTGGACGTCAAAATCACCGTTCTTAAAACGTTGAAACCACTCACGACACGTTCTTTCACTAATAGCGGCCTCATCATAAGTATTTGAGAGCATTCGATGAACCTCAGCCGCAGATTTCTTCATATTGAAGCAAAAAATTAAAACCTCCCGCAAATGACGAGAATTTGGCTCGTAAACTGACATTTTCAATCGAGAATAATTTTATGATGTAGACACAAATCGACTAATGTTTCTATGGGGTTATGTTGACAGATGCCCAAGTTTATTGTATGACGTCTATGATCTATTTATTTCGACCACCACTTACCGCTAAAGCCATCTATAGGAAAACGGCGGAAGCAAAATTGTACACCTAATATCTTTATTATTTAGTACTTACCATCTTTTGCAAAAATATAAATTTTCATCAATGATGACTTAATGGTAATCTTGTACACATTCATGAGTCTGGATTTCCGCTAACTTACAAATGATTTCGCAGATCCCGCAGGTATAGCATTATCGTAGCTGAAATTATAATTAATAATTATTAAAAAATATTGAAAAAATGAAAAATAATACAAGATAAATATAAAATAAATATGATATTTATGATAAAACAAATGTCTTTAAGAGTCTGTTTAGCTCTTTTTTCGAACATTTAAGAACTTAATAAAGGTCGAAACATTTGTTTATTACATGATAAGATTTTAATAGTAGTACGAACACCTAGCTTCGACCCATATCTTTCTTTGTGTATTAATTTAATTATGATTCTAATTGAATTGAACTCTCCTTGTATTAATTTTATTCAAAATGGTTAGAAATTATTTATATTTTACGTATATTGCTTGATTTTTGTCATTCTGCATTTTGAAGTCATTGTTGGTCGCTGCGTATCCAATGCATAGACGTTAATGCATTGTCTACAATGGACAGTAGCAGTAGTGGATTAAAGAGTAGGAGGAGAAATCGACCAATCATAATTGAATAAGAGAAAAACTATGATTGGTACTCCTTAATCAACTACTGCCCATTGTAAACCATACATAAGTTAGTGTCACACTTTCCGTAATAGTATTGTAAACGTAACGTATGTTTTCGACCAATCGCATTGCTTGATTCGATCGTCCGTAACCGTAACCATAACAATCGAGCAACGTGATTGATCGAAAAACTTACTGTTATTGTTACAAAAAGTGTATGTGACTAGCTATAAAATATAATTTTATGTCGATTCGTACGAAAATACGTAGCTAAGCTTTGCTCAAGGTGAATTCACATGCAAGCGTCAAGCAGCGGAAGCAGCAATCAATCAACTGCTTACCACTGCCCGATACAGGCACGCATGCGTAATGGTTAAAAACGTTTTGTATTGAAAAAATTGTCCGATAGAACCATCCGATAGAACCGTAAGATGGCGGTTGGAGCAGTTCATGTGTTCCAATGTGACACGAACAGATTTAGGACAAGTGAGCATGTCACCTAACCTAATCCGTGAGACCACTTGAACGAGTCGGACATATGTCTCGTTTCATTTCAAGTATTTTGTGTTACCTCGATTATTATTTGAAAAATATTTTTATACAAAATAAATGCGATTTTAATAAATATAAAAGTTATATTATATTTTTATATTATATTATATTATATTTTATTGTATTAATATTATTTTATTTAATTTTTTAATTTTTTAAATTTTATTTATTTTATTTATTTTATTTTATTATTTTATTTTGTTAATATTATATTATATTGTTATATTATATTTTTATATTTATATCAAAAACGCATTTATTGAATCTGAAATACTTTTTTCGATACAGTACGTTTTCATGTACCATTACGTATGCTTGCGTAACATGCCCCAATCGTATCACTTTCTGAGGTGAGGCAAAGAGGTGGAGCGTGCTCTTAATTGATCCATGGAGTATGCTCTAACTCGACGCGAACATCTAGTCTCGCCATATTGGATCCGGTGACGAACGTATTGGAGCGTGCATGTTGGACGCGACAAATCTCTGGTTGTTATGCCGATTGTATGTGAGGTTAGACACAATTAGGTGGGTAATGAATGTGTCAGTCCATGTGAGTGAGTTTAATGTTTGCTTGATACCGACGTTTTCGCAAAATGACACAAGTTGCGCAGGAGGATAACGAATTAAAAAGATTGCTCAATAATCCAGCCAAGAACGCTCCAAGCGAAGATGGATCCATGGCACCACCGTTATCGGTAGGTTATTAAATGTTAGATTTTACATACGCTTTCTAAAATAATGAACACTTAATTTGTAGACTAATGTGCCGAGACCAAGCACGTCGCAAAGTACCAACCCGCAATCGATGATGATTCCGACAACACCAGTTAATAGCACGAAAGAAATTCCAGAGCCTTGTTTACAGTAGGTCTTGAATCATGTAATTATTTACATTGCATATAAATATCTACTTACTGTTGTACTGTTATTATGTTAATTTTACAATAAGTTGGTAGTTGATAATTCTAAGTCTTATTGGTGAAGTTTACCAATAGCCAACTTGTATGACTAACGCTGATTGACTTAACTTTAGTGATTAAGGGCCTCAACTTTTGATTAAATTAATCTATGATTAACTCGTAAAAGTACTAATAGTTTAATGTATCAGAACGTCTCTCTCTTTCTCTTCTGTATTCTCACATTGGCAATCATGGTGATTGAGTTACCATTGATTAGCATTATTCAGGATTGATGAAAGAGGCTGTAAAACGAAAACTTAGTGGTACCAACGTTACTTTGAGCAAGACTTAAAACTCTCTTTGTCTTGTTTTAAAGCAAAAGAGAGACAGAAAGAGTTTTAAACTTTGCTTAAAGTCAAAGTACATTGGCGCAACCAGATCTAAGACTTCCAACTACCAATTCATTGTAGAATCAGCATTAGATGTGAGTAGGATGTAGTTTCTTTCATTAGTGTTTGCATTATTTTTACAGAAATGTAGTCTCTACAGTTAACTTGCAAACAGAATTGAAACTTATGTACATTAATGTAAGAACTAGGAATTCTGAATACAATCCAGCTAGATTTACCGGATTAATAATGAGGATACAAAATCCTAGAGCAACAGCGCTGATTTTCCGCTCTGGTAAATTAGTATGTACTGGTGCGAGAAGCGAACAAGATTCATTTTTGGCGGCAAAGAAATTTGCCAGGATAATTCAGAAACTTGGATTCCCTGTAAGCAATGTCACACGCCTAGAAATCTCAAGAGAGTTTTTACCTAATGTACAGTGCTTTTATTTTTTTTTCTAGGTTAAGTTTTCCAGTTTTAAAATACAGAATATAGTTGCGACATGTGATTTGAAATTCCCAATTAAGTTGGAGCTTCTATATCAATTTCATGGTCAATTTTCTAGTTATGAGCCAGAGTTATATCCGGGTCTAACGTACAGAATGTATTCACCTAGAGTTGTATTATTAATATTTGTAAATGGTAAAGTTGTGTTAACAGGTATGTGTTTTAATACTGTAAAACGTAAGATTTTTGCAGATATTACAGCAAGCAGATGGCTAAATAATTATTGAATGTATTTATTTGATAATTTTTAGGAGCAAAGAATAGAACTGAATTACAAGATGCATTAAATATTATATATCCGACATTAAAGATGTATAGAAAGCAATAATATTACTTATTTACAAAATAAATGTCAAATAAAATAACAAGAGACATGTAAATATAAAAATTAATTATATAATAGTAAATTGTTCTTCTATCTATGATAACTGATTTTAAAATTCTACAAAATGAGAAAAGCATTTATTTTGTATTTTTATATATCTTTATAATACATAATGCAGTATTATTAATATTTTATGTGTTAATTTTATTATTTTATATTGATGTATACTGTGTAATTTATCATTATAATTATGTTAAAGAAACTTTAATTATTTTATAGATTTCTGTATAACGTATAATAATTGTATATATTTCTTTGTATCTTAAATCACACATGCATTCATACGCGCACGCATGCACGCACGCACGCACACACACACACACACACACACACACACACACACACACACACATACACACACATCTATGTAAAATAAAGAAAAAATTAATTTACAAGAAATTATATCTAATAATAATTAATATAATTAAATGGTTATGATTAAAAACCACATACGCTTCTACTTATTATTAAAGTATATATTTCAGACGATTTGTATGATGAAAATAAATATTTTCTGATATATACTATATATTAAAATAAAATATAATTTACAAACAATTATATTTGTAATGTAT